TTCCTTTGTGTTCAGCAGAACAAATAAACACATAGAGTTTTGGAACAACATGAGGGCGAGTAAATATTTAGAATATAAAGAATTTTCATTTTTGGGTGAACTAACGGGACCAGGGTCTCTGCTCAACATTGTTAGCCAACTTTGGTAACAAGTTCCATTGAGCTCTGTTGGTTTAGACCAAGTTGCTTTTCAGAAACCTCTGGTTTCGGTGACGAGTGCAACAGTATACTCGATACACACCAGTCGTAAGTGGAGAGGACAGTGATAGAGACAATTACACCCCTACTCTTTAAAAGAAGTCATGACAAAAAAAAATCATCATAGAGAGTCAGGATGAGTCTTACAAGCAAACAATCAAACATATCCGTATCTCCAAACACAAGCACCAAGGGACCATTAAAACAAGGTACCTCTAAGTTGTGAACCACTGGCATAGTTGGCTGGCACTGGCTGACTGGAGGCAAAAGGTGAAGTATGCTGTTGCTGGGTGACTCCATACGGGCTGTGACTAGATTGGGCTCCGGAGTACTGGCCATGCTCTGCCCCACCAGCACTAAATCCCGGCTGAGACTGGAAATGACGCGACTGTCCCGGGCAGCCAATAACATTTTCAATTAACACAAGCACAGACAGCAAAATATACAAAACATGTGTGCGAGTAGTAACTTAACCATGTGTCCTTCACCATTAAACAGTGTTGCTTTGTTTTAAACACATATAGATTGATTAAACTGTCTCACTCACAGGAATGACTGGAGACTGGAAGAGCTGTTTACTGCGTTCCCCAAGAAGAGCACCTGGGCGCCCATGACTCACCTGACCCGCTGATAGAAAACAAGCGGTGGAGAAAAATTAAGTAATTACTGTATGGCAAATATAACAACAACAAAAGCAAGAAGTCTAAATGACATTCACAACTTTATATTCCTGAACAGATGCCTAAAAATGCCAAATAGTGGTCACCTTGCATGCTAAGAAGGTGCTGTCCAGGGTGGAGGGCCATGTTTGGCTGGTATGTTGCTGAAGTCAGAGTTGTCATGTCACTGTAAACATAAAATAATTCTAGTTGTAAACTGAATAACAGATATGTGATTTTGCTAAATCTGACAGCTTTGGATAATAATGTTTTTTTCCCCCACCTTTTTGTGGGAAATTTTCAGTCTAGTCTTTGGTGTCACGGGATCCTTCAGAATTTTTATTAATATTCTGATTTGGAGCTAATTTATTTTTCTTATTAATACTTAATATTTTTAAGCTTTTTAAAAATATAATACTTTTTCAAGATTCTTTGGTAAATTTAAAAAGAACAGCATTTATTTGATATATAAAATTACTGCCATTTTGATCAGTTTAATGCAGCCTTGCTGAATTAAAGTCTTATTTTATTTCTTAAAAAAAACTTACTCTTTCCCGTACCTCTGTTCTTTCCTTCGTCTTTTCTCCTCCTCATGTAGCACTTTCTTCAGCTGTAGGAAAAGCTGGTGCTTCTCCTCTTGAAGACCTTGTAGCTTCACTCCCATCTTCATAATCTGAAGCCAGAGAGAGGGAGTAAAAATATTGGTCAGGAGGAGTCCTGTGCAATAACACCTGCATCTTTTTGTAAATAATCCAAGTTTTAGAATTTGGCAATCATACAGACTTACCTGCTCTTTAGTCTCCTCTAAGGACATCCTCTCCTCCATCTCTTTCTTCCTCTTCCGCTCTTCCTCTTCTTTTAGTTTCTGCTCCATCATTTTGTCAACCTCTTCCTCCTCTGAGATAAACAATTGACAACTAATCACAAAGTTATTTTTTAGAAAAGACATCAAAAGTAGCTACATGCAGTCATGCACATCACCAACAACCCTAAAATTCACACAAAGCACTAGAATGCAAGATGAACATGGGAATTATTTTATTTATTTGTAGAAAAAACAATATGCAGGAGATTCCAGGGCTTACCTTGCCTCTTCCGCTCCCTCTCTCTCATGATGTGCTTGTGTAAGGCACGTGCCATGGCATTTGACAGTTTGGGCCTCTCCAGAAGAGCCGGCATTATGGTAGGGATTGGTGGTGCCAGCTGGAGTAGAGAAGTCACGTAAAAAAAAGTTACACAGATCACGATGACATGATCTACATTTTCTGTCACGAATGAGTCCACTAAGATTACATTTCATTTTTTTAGGGGCCTTTCCACAGCAAGAAGAGTGAAAAGTGAGAAACAATTAAAGAACTGAAAGTCTGAAGATTTTTTTTTTTTTACCTGGTTAATCAATAACATGTTGAAAACATAACAGAACCAATCTTATTAATTCTTAATATTTCTGTGCAGCACAATTAAAAAAGTTCACAGAGGTTCAGGATGACACATCACAAACACAAACTAAAGGCAGCAGTCAGAAAGTTGACAAGCCTTGCTTACGTTGTATAAACCAACTTACCATATCAATTCTAAAAATCAAAGACTACGAGTTAGAGCAAAATGTAAACTAGAAGAAAGAAATGTGGTAATCTGAAAAGCAATAGAAGGCAGTAAATGAGCAAACTCCCAGCACCGGGTTAAGTTAGCTCTATAATGACTTGACAAGCTAGCTGGCTATGCTTGCAGTAACCTGAATGTTTTGACGGGCTATTCAGTCAATCTGTCCAAGAAAATCACCTTTTATAAGCATGATTTTATAGACGAAAGTGATTTAAATGTTTCCTTTTTCCAGTACGTTGCATTAACACCTGACCATTAGGCTAGCAGGCTAACGGCTCAAGTGACAGCTTAGGCAGCTAGCTTGCAAAATCAGCGAACTAAATAAAACTCTTGCAGTGAAATTCGAGGAATCTTCATGTAACGCACTTTTGTCCGTTTCTGAGATTAATAGTATGCTGAGCTTGTCTGAAGGCTTTCCTTTAAGAAAAATAAACAAGTGTGTCAGTAATGAACCAAAATAAAAATGACAGGAAACCCAGTTTGGCGCACTTCCGCTGTGGGTGTGTCATGATGACAGCAAGTGTGCGTCTATGCGTTAACATTATGGCAAGCCGTTTTAACATTTAATCATTTCAAACCTTCTAGTCTCTATTTTCATGCTACTAGTACTTATTTTTTTAGATACTAGTATCTATTCCATTAAGTACTAGTACTTATTCATTAGCTACTAGTGTTTATTCTTTAGAGACCTTTTGAAGATACTAGATATTTACATATTTATTAGATACTAAATACTAGTACTTATTCGATAGATACTAGTCCTTATTTATTAGATACTAGTGCTTATTTATTAGTTACTAGTGCTTATTCATTAGATACGTGTACTTGTTAATTAGTTACTAGAACATATTAGATAATAAGTACTGGTACCTATTAACATCCCCTAAATGGCCTGTGCGAACGTCCCCGTGTAGGGTCCGAGTCCGCTTGATGTCCCGCAGACCTTGGCAAAGACTTCCTCCGGACGTTCAAGAGGACGTTCCCAGGACCACCAGCGGCCATTCAGGATATTGCACTTTCAGCGCAAGCCACAAGTCTGTACACGATCGCAGCGCTAACAAGCACTTTGATCACTTGGTTTCAAAAGCAACACATTTCAGCGCTAGATCGCCTCTTATTTAACAACCAAACTAAATGAGTGCTCTGCTAGTTAACTAGAGATGTTTTATTTATTTGTATAATTTACATCTGTGGCGCAAGATGTTTCAAAAGTGGTGGGGACAATATCGACTAAATACTTGAGTCTATTTATTAGACTCAAGTATATTTTGTAATTGTTCCTTTGTAATAACTATTCTTATCTTACCAGTCACAACTGCTTTTTTACTAGTTTTATGTTATGACTACGGCCACTGTAGAGTTCAATTAAAAATCTTACTAGTAAAATAAAAATTCTTACTAGTAACATTTGGAATAAACACTAGTATCTAATAAATAGGTACTAGTATCTATCGAATAAGTTCTAGTATTTATATATATTATCTAGTATCTTTAAACAGGTCCTACCTTAAGAATAAGCACTAGTACTAAAGAAAAGACACTAAGCACTAGTAGCTAATGCATAAGTACTAGTACTTAATGGAATAGATACTAGTATTTAAAAATAAGTACTAGTAGCATGAAAAAGAGACTAGTAGCTTTAAATGATTAAATGTTAAAACGGCTTGCCATATTAACAGAAGTGAAGAGGCTGTTCGCTGCAGAACCACGGGTGGAGCGTGAAAACTAGCTCATCTCTGGACGTGTAGCTCCCCCTCTCTAAATGTAATTCGCGTGCAATGGGTGGAGCTAGAAGCATCCATTAGATCCACAGAGGTGGAGCTGGACGTCTTTGGCTGGACTAGGTCAGAGGTCAAGCTCAAGCTCAAGCTCAACCTATGACGTGCAGAGAAGGGGAACTGGGTGTCATTAAGCTCTGCAGTGAGCAGTGAGCGTGAGCATCACAGCATCTTTTCAATATGCCTAGCTTTCAACTATGTTTTAAAATTGTTTTATTTGTGGGTTATTTTCACTTACAACATGTATTATAAGGAATATCGTTTAATGAATCTGCTACGTCTATTAGCTAAATTTAGTATACATAAATGTATATATGTGTGAAGCAAGGCAGTTCAGCAATATCTTAAAACAATAATATTACATTTAGAAAAAATTAAAAACTGTTAAATGTGTTAATATGTGTGAACAATTTAATGTCTGATTGAACTTTGTGATGTTTTATTCTGTCAGAAAGACCTGCAAAATCATGGGCACTACAAGCAGGATCACAACGAACTTTTTTTTAATATTTATTCTTATTCGTAATTTGTTGTAATATGTACAAATCTATAAATAAAGATCATTCTCATTTTTTTTTACACTCTCATCAACCTACTGTTGGCTTGTTTGCTGACTTTGTCTATTGCCTTTATTGTTGTTTGTTTATTGTAAAGCATCCTTATATAAATAAAACTTACTGTTATTATGAGCAAAAGTCAACAGATATTCTGTGATCTGTGAGAAAATGACATGTCGAGATGCATTAAAGACCCACACAGGCGGATTTTTACATCAGGTTTATAACAGTGGCAAGTTTCAGATGGAGCTTTTAGGGGAAAAGGAACAAAACACACCAATCCATAACAAAAATAACCAAGTCATAAACTTTAACCTTTATAATGATAACGGTACAACTGAGAAAAGACAAGCAGCCTCTTACATTATGACAACTGAAAACAAACTTTTTAATCTTTTCACCAATTTATTCAAATAAACAGCAATCCAAACCCATTGAAAAATAATAATTGGCAATGATACACAAACACACTCGCACACATACACATTACATGGTGTGATAGTCCAGTATTATCAGTGATTTTGGTCTGTGCAAATATGGTAGCTAAAAACAAAATCAAACCAAACAAAGTGACTTCAGGATGCATGTTGGTGCCAAAGGAAAGTGAGAAAAGTTGAAAGGAGAAGTGTAGAACATTGACAAAGCTATTACGGATATGAGTACCACTAATTTACTGAAACAGACCAGGACAAAGTATCAGGCCTAAAAGCAAGAATGAGGGCGGAACTCTTAGCTAGGAAGGAACAATATGCAGGCAGCATAACACGATTTCATAAATAGAAAAGGAAGAGGATATGAAAGTGCATTTAACATGTACACTTTGTGTGGCCTAACGTATTGATCATTTTATTTTAAAGAGGGGTATCGTGGGGCAAGTATATTCATTACACATCTCTCAAAACGTCCCCATAGACGCTTTCATCACTGTAGGCAATGTAAAGGAAAAAATCTTCTTCATGGTGCTCCTAAAATACAGAAAAAAAGACAAAGAGTTTAGAAATGCTTCATTCTTATTGAGCAATTCTACGGATGTAAAAAAAACAGGTGCAAAAGATGGAGCAAGCAAAATAAATTATGTTCAGAATTATTCAAAAGAGAATGAAGGATGTACCTGGTAGAGCAACCCCATGGTGGCTGATGTGGGAGGAATGACGTTATTGACAAAGAAGAAGAGGGCATCTTCGGCCCTCAAGTGGATCCTTTTCCGAATGAGGAAGTAGAACTGCCCCACTTTAAAAACAAGAAAATGTGTCATTACGTACATATCCTGCATGTTTTAATACCATTCAATATTAATCCGCAAATGAATCCGTATTTTACAAGAAAATTAACCTGTGAGGTCAGAAGGGACAAGATATTTCTTCTTATCCAGATCTCCTATTCTGGCTTTGGGAGCTTTCTCAACGATCACCTGTGGAAAACAAATCAGTGATGATGATAAAAAATAACCAGTCAGTCATGTGAGAACAACTGCATCTTTCAGTAGTACTTATCAAGGGTATTCCCCGTTTCTCCATTTCAACACATTTCCCCACTGATATTTTACCGAGGACACATAATGTAACTGATAGTTATCCCAGTGCGACGCCACATCGTAATACGTCAGAAAACTTAATATTCAGGGCATTTTGTCATCGACTCAAAACAAAACAAGGTTCATGATTCAATTTCATGTGCGTAAGAAATTAATAAAATTATGTGCGGGATACAGAGCAGTTTACCGGCTCTCTATTTATGACGGTTAATACCTTGATGATTATCAAATGTTACAAATATTTAAACCTATATCATATATTCTCATAAAAAGATATTAATTATTCTATTACTTTACGACGCAAAAATGTCCAATTAAGACAGAAGCTAACTGACGCTAACGCTATTAGTCCTTTCATATTTGAAGGACAGCTTAAAAACACCGATGACAATTAATTAATTAATCGTTTATATAAGTTACACCAATTCGTGTTATTAACTATTTTCCCAGGGTTTCTCCATACAAATTAGCGTTGACACTATGTTATTCCTCGATAGGTTTACGTTATCTGTACAAGCAGGGCCCAGACAAAAACAACTCATTTGTCTGACTCACAGGCACTCTGTCCGGGTACTTCTTTCTGATTTTCTCCCCCTCGGACCGTCGCTTCTCAAAGGGATGTTCTTCTTTGTACATAAACTTCATTGTCAAGGGCTGGGAGATGTTAAAAATATCCAAGAAAACCTGCCGTCGACGGTGTTTACAAACTAGCTTAGGTTTTCCTGACAACTGCGTCGGAGGCTATGTTCGGAGGGCGGAGGGGATATCCAATAACAACGACCAAGGAAGGCGGCGCACGTCCCATCACGTCAGCTGCGTAATGACGTCCTCAGCAGCCTGGAGGCCTACGTGGCATTACCTGAAATCTAAACGGTTAAAACAAAAACAAAATGTTAAAGTAACTTAACATGCTTTGTTCTGTAAGGACAATTAGCATATCGAATGTGATGCTGTCTACATCACAGGTAGCCTGGCCTAGTAATAAAAAAGGTTAAAATCATGCAAGACTTGATTCATGTCCTCAGGCTGATGACTGCTTTGGATAGAAATTCAAGCTAAATTTGACCAATTATCCATTAAACCACAAAGTAGTTTTAAGTTGAATCAAAACTACTGGTATAGATGCTCATCCACTTACCCATCTTTGTAGGAGAAGCCTGCTTGCTAACAGTCAACTCCCTCTCGTAAGGGGACACGGGCGAGGGTTATTTTGGTAAAAATGGACAAGATATCAAACCCATGGCATTTGAATAAACCTCAGGTTGTGAGTGGGATGGGTGCTTCTTAAAGCTATTCACAATCCTACACTTTGATTTATCTGAAAAGTTTGTGCACTAAAATAATTTGGTTTTTATTGTTACATTGCTGGGAAACGACAGGTTCTTCTGAGTATGATGACTATCATAAAACCATTTACTAAAATCATTCCAAAGTAAAACCAATGCCTATATTATGAACAAGGCATTGACTACCAAGCCATCCAGACACTGTCTAGAAATAGTCATGGTTCAAAATAATTTGGAGGCAAGCCACAAAGCCACAGTGAAGGCAACAATTACGTTGACGATGTCTCAGATTTTAGCTGTAAGTGGAGCAATGATGAATCAGTTAACCATCATGAGGTCTGCATAACAGTAACTGTATTGAAGGGTGGCATAAAAGAAGCCACTTAAAACAAGTAGCACATGTGGAAGATGAAGGCGACCTGCTAAAAACACCATATTAGATCCTGTTTTGACAGGTCAGATGAGACCAAGAGGTTTTTGACCAAATTGAAAGACTTGTGTTGTGTAAATCCAGCATTGCCCACAGCCTTATTCATGAAACACAAGCAGAATAAATTTCTGTGTAAATTATTCATAAAGCCATTCGCTTGTAAATTGCTCCACTGGATTAACTTGTACACGAATGGTTTGTTATGATTTACACCAAAATCTGTTTTGCTTGTACTTCACAATGAGTGGTAGCGAAGCATTGTTCTATTTCATCTGCAGGAACTGATCATTTCATTAAAATAATGAACAGAACCTGTTTTTCAGTTTGCTAAAATATGAAGCTATTTTGAGTATACAAAGTTATCCAATTCAATTAAATAAAAAAAAAGATTAATTGTGTAAAAAGTGGTACAAATCTCTAACTGCTTAAATTTAAAGCATTGGATCAATCTCTTTACTTAACATATGATGTTATGGAAGTAGCAGCAGATGGTTTCTTCTCTATTGTGTCATATATCCAAGTGTAACTGATTATCAGAAAATAAATAAATGTAGGTGGGGACTTGGTTCTATCCATTATTTGTTGATTGGATGAAGGCAGTTCTGAGTGTGAGCTTCTGGTTGATTTTAAGAAAGGGGCAGGTTGTGAGCAGACTAAATTATTTGATAAGACCAGCATAAAGTCGTCGGAAGATCGAGTTATTATATTTGAATTAAAAACGAGGTCAAAAAAATAAAAGTAAAATGCATTAAATTGTTCACAATAAGATACATAGCCTGAATTTTCATTTCATGCAGACTTCATTTTGGAGTTTCTGTGCTTTGAAATCAAAATATCAGACAGAATGAAATATAAATCAGGATAGATTTCAGTAAAATTAAAATTGGGTTACGAGTCTGAATACTTCACTGTAAATAGTTCAGCCAATTTAAAATGTAGAGCACCCCAAAAAGTGAAAAAGACTGTCATTTCAGTTGTTGACAAAAGGCTCTATTTTATTTTTCTGTTATAGCAGAGTCCTTGTTGCTCAGTGTCTTTCTCTCAGTGGCTAATGTATCCATATCGAGGAACATCTAAACACGTGTCCTCGAAATATATGGTAAAACCTCTCTGATTTAACCAGAGGTTCTACATATGAGCCATTTTAAAATACACAGAAAATTAATACCATAAGCAGTAATAATGGACTGTAGTTTTCTCTCCTGCTAGTTATCTCTACCACAGCATACTATTAGTACAACGGTATTAACAGCTCTCAGCTCTTAACATAGAGAAGAGGACCAGATACCTGAGATGGCAGACAGAAAAAAATAAAATAAAAAGAGAGGAAGGACAGAAGCTTAGAGAGAGAGAGAATGGGTGGATAAGACCATGTGACCATTTGTCAGGTACAGGTCATACAAAACAAAACAAAACACAGACATTTAGGAAGGGGGAATAAGTGCAAATGAAGTGTGGAAAGTGACAGGTCGTTACAACTGATTAACTGATCCTTTATTTACCCCCCAAAAAAATGAAAGGTAAAATTGGAATCAGAAGCGTTCTCCCCAATTCACTCAGAAACACTCCAACATGCACACGTTGAATCCAACAAATAAGGCAGAGTTTCCATTTCTTTAGGAAAACAAAATACAAGAAAAAATGCTGGCCTCTCAATATGAGTTTATGTGTAATAGCTTCTCCATCATGTGTCTCTCTCTCCTTTATATTCTCCCATGTCTTCTCATAGCATTTCCTCAGAGGAGTCCATGAGACTAGGGAGCTCACATGATGACAAGAGGCTGACAACTCCAGCGCAGGAGAGGCTAAAACCTAGCAGGCAGAGCCAAGTAAAAAAACAAAAAAAACAACGGCGACCAGAAGAGAGACTGGCCCTGACAGACACGATCACCAGAGCCGATGCTGGTGGAGATTTCGACTGAGGACGGAGCGCACATCTGAGGTAAACCTAGAAAGGGAACGAAAACACACTAAGGGGAGCTTACTGAAACAGTAACAGTAACATTAGTCCCCGGTTTCACAGACCAGGCTTAATACTAGTCCCAGGCTGTTTTAACTGAAAGCAACTTGCACTGATATATCTTAAAATATGTCAGTGTCATTGTTTTGTCTAAGCATGCAAAGCAGTAATATGTTTTGTTTATAAAAGCTACTTAAATGTCATAAATTAAACTAAGGCCTAATCCTAATCTAAGCCCCATCTGTGAAACCAGGCCAAAATGTGACAAACGAAAGAGCAGTTTGATATTAGTAAGAAACAGAAAGATTTGAGGATGACATAGTTGTCTTGTGCAAAAAAAATCCCAAACACTTTGTCTTCTGTTCTGCAGAAAAAATACAGAAACAAACCTGTGGTGTAGAAAGGAAAATTTGTAAACAATTTCTTGTTTCTATTGCTTGCCTCATCGCCCTTATATTCATGTTATTTCTATTTATTTACATATTTAATACAAGTTTAAATCAAGAAAAGCCCCCCAATGAATATTAATTTTAAAGTTTTAAAAAGTCAGTATTGTTTATTTTATTTCCTTATCATTAAACATCAGCACAAATCAGTCCAATTCACTTTTAAAATTAATTTAAATATTGTACAAATATTAAATGAGGGCACTACAATCTTATTAGTAGCTGAAACCATTGTACAACATGTCCAAATTATGTAATAAACTAATAAAATACACAGAAAGTCTTATATGTGTAGAAATTTGCTAACAAGGGCGTTCAAATTTTGCTGAATTTATTGGCCATACATTTTGTGCAGGCCTAATCAAGATTTAGACGATGACCATGAAGGAAAGAAGTATTCATACCTCAATGCATCCAACATTGGGAGCAGGTTAAGAAGTGCTGTGTCACTTGGGTCACTGAACCACGACTTTATAGGTATTGCATTATCTGGGGTGAAAACAAGTTAAAATTGCATTCATATTACAATTTATCACACAACACAAAACAAAAGAGTTTTTTTAATAGATGCACAAGATTGATGTTTGTGTCTGTAAACACAGGATCAGGATTACCACAATTTTAACATCAAATGTAGAAAACCAGAGTGGATGGGAATGTACTCTCATAGATATTCCATCTCTAACCTGGGTGACTTCGATAAGCTCCAGGCGAGTTGTCCAGAATAACTATACTGGAGAGATCGCTGTGTACAACAGACAGATCTTTTATGTAGCTCCCTAGATCCAAAGTGCAGTGCTGCAAAAAGTGGGAAAGAGAGAATGAGACCCAGAGGTTTAGTAATTAAAAAAAAGAGACATGAAAAGCTATTTCCTAGGCAGAATCAATCAACAAAAGTGCTGGGCGTAAGATTTGGTTATAAAATAGCTTATCAAGAGCAGCGGGTTTTACCTGTCTGTAGTATCTTCTTTTGAGGATAGCCCTGTTGTTATCCAGCTTATCTGCTACAGCTGATCCATATATCTCCATACTAGCTGTAAATACTACCAACTCATACCACTGACTAACCTGACATATACAAACAAAAGCACACACATTAAAATTTTAGATTTTGTCACAAAAAAAATGTAAAAGCAAAATTTATTAAAAAAAAAAAAAAAAAAAAGTAAATTGTTTGCTAATTTGCTCAATAGAAAGAGTTCACTCACCACCTCTAAAAAGAAATCGACGTGTGGCCTTTTATGGACAAAAAACCTGACTGGGTGTTTGTCTATTACCACCTGAAAAAGAAAGAGAGAAAACTTTAAAAAGGAAATCAAAATTGAACAATTGCTTTAAATACACTTATTCATGCAGTTTTAAAAATTCTCATTGTTCCTTTATTGTTAATTTGCACAACCAAAGGTTTGGGGTTGGTAAGATTATTAAAAATGTTTTGGAAAGAAGTCCCTTATGGCTGCATTTATCAAAAATACAATAAAAATAGGAATACACTGAAATATTATTACAAATTTTATCTATTTAAATGTTTATAATGTAATACAATTTTTATAGTGCTGTCAAACGATTAATCGCATCCAAAATAAAAGTTTGTGTTTACATAATATATGTGGGTGCACTGTGTATAATTATTTTATATATATATATATATATATATA